ATATCTGATAGTCTCTGTCTCAAACAACAAAGACAGACTGATACATATATTATAATAAGTTTTATTGTATTTATTTTTAATAGGGTTTAGTAAATATCTGCGCGCATAAAAAATCTCTTCTAATCTATTGACTCACCTCGGACTGAGTTTAGCGATATACATGGCATAATAAGTTTTGTTGTTACGATAGTCCATACCCAAATAACAAGGTTTGACCAACATCTACGCAAAAAAAAAGTTTTTTTTTCTCTTCTAACCTTTATAACTCAGCTCGGACTGAGTTAAGCGATATACATGGTATAATAAGTTTTGTTTGTTACATTCGTCTATACCCAAATAACAAAGTTTGACCAACATCTGTGCAAAAAAATAAATATTATTTTCTCTTCCAACCTTTATAACTCAGCTCGGCGGAGTTTAGCGATAATAAGTTTGCGATAATAAGTCCATGGCATAATAAGTTTTGTTTGTTACGTTAATCTTTACCAAAATAACAAGGTTTGATTAACATCTGAGAAAAAAAAAATTTCTATCCTTTATAACTCAGCTCAGACTGAGTTTAGCGATATACACGGCATAATAAGTTTTGTTTGTTATGTAGTCCATACCCAAATAACAAGGTTTGACCAACATCTGCGCAAAACAAAGAAATATTTTTTTCCTCTTCTAACCTTTATAACTCAGCTCGGACTGAGTTTAGCGATATACATGGCATAATAAGTTTTGTTTGTTACGTAAATCTATACCAAAATAACAAGGTTTCACCAAAATATGCGCAAAAAAAAATTCTAGTAACCTTTATAACTCAGCTCCGACTGAGTTTAGCGATATACATGGCATAATAAGTTTTGTTTGTTACATTGTCCTCTACCTAAATAACAAGGTTTAGTCAATGGCCGCGCGAAAAAAATGGCGCCACCTTCCATATAAAATCTCAGCAATATTGATTACTAGTCTTAACTAGTAGTAAATAAAAGCACGAAGCAATTTTTTTTCTTTCTTTTTACAATAACAATCCAACGCGTTTAAGTAAGGAACCTACATTTTGAAAAATCTCACGTGAGATTGGGGGATGGGGAAGGGGGTTGAATAAAATCTCACGACATCTCACCAGGATCCCCTCCTGAAGAGGGGAGGGACAGAAAATTCAAAAAACACCTCACGTAATTTATGGACGCCCCCGTATTTGAAATAGAATTTATTGCGAGTATTGTACAAATAGTTAACAACATGGGCTTATTGACGTGATAACGTCTTATAAATCGATGAACACCAGGTGACGCACGTTTACACACGACAAGTTAGTTTAACGTTCCGCGGTGTATGTGAGATGAGGTGAAGGGCCCCCTGACCTACACTTTTTAGGCCAAGAGCTACTGAACCCTCCGAGTAACGGTCTGTCTGTAAGGCTAGAAATTCTTATGGTGATGAGTCATAGTATACTTAGTACGGTAAGCATCGTCTGGCACTCCTCAGCCCTGCACGTCATTAAGCCGTATATTTTTGAAAGTGTCAAAAAAATATTTAAAAAAAAACTTGTTGCTGTAAGCTTGAAATTTTTATACAATGTAGTTTATTCATTTTTAAGTTTAAAAAAAATATTGCCAGACGTTTACGATGTGCACAAGTACCTGCCAGACGAACCGGAAGGTGTGTAATATATACATAAAAATAAACTTTATTCTGTAAAGTTGAAATTTATATATGTGTTTGTTTAAGCGATTTAAAGTAAGTAGGTAGAATGCCAGACGGTTCTGGCTAGCACAAGTCCTTGCCAGGCGAGGAGAAAGATGCTGCGGCAGTGCGAGTAAGAGTCGTAGTATGGAAACTTACATAACTAAAAACTGCTCATAATTTGAAATTAATTACCGTTAATTAATATATATTTAGTAGTGCGCATGTTTCTGTGAAGTCACCGTTTTGAAAAAATACAACTCGATACTTAGATGAAAATAAAGAATATGTAAGTTCATAATAATATACCCGCCAATGATGCTGGTACATTGGATGAAGTCGATGTTTTGTTCTGGCAATATTTTTTCATTACAGCAAGAAAGTTTTTGTAACACTTCACATGATAACCCTGTATTATCATGAACTTCCTCTGGCAAAGAAATGTCATTAAAGGACAATGTTAAAATTGGCCTAAGAACCAACACCAATTTGGCATTTATGATAATTCTTAGTATATTTTTTGCGATAATTATCAGTATTTAGATTGTCACGGACACTTCCAGTTAAGTAAGCTAAATTAAAAAGTTAAAGAAAATCTGAGATAATAAATATCATTTTATGTGTATAATCTACGACAGCGCTGCAAACAAAACACTCTTTCTTCCTAATGCCGGCACTTCACTTGGCTATTCGTATTTGCTATTTGAAAACGTGACATCAGTCTGTCCTTTTCATTTCTTATTAAGCATGACAAGGACAAACTGTTGTCAAGTGAAGGGCCGGCATAAAACTTGATAATCTGTGGTTGTGGTGCCAGGCAGTTTGCATTCGTAGTAATCTGTGGCATTTGTGCATTCTCGTTTCAGATTACCTGTTGTGTGTGTTTATTTGCGATTGTTTTTCCTTTAATTTATCTATTTTGGCTATCTGATATGCCATCGATTTTACGAAGGAGCAGAGACCTTATTACCAAGTGCTACTGAATCTGTGCCACTACATCCTGAGAGGATCATACTGCCAAATTATTCAAGAGCACCTGATACACATTGACGCTGCATATTTACACATTATACAAATACATGTGATATACAAATAAAAACAATATACAATATGATAAAATAATGTGAAAAATAGTCCATAAATAAGAAGCAAAACTACAGTTTTTATTTTATTCATGCTTCCTAACTAACCAAGTTTTTCCTAATAGTTATTCTTTAAAATCGCACCGAATATAATGAATTAGTTGTTATATTAATTCACTTCATACTGAGTTCATTGGTACTAAGTTCATAGGTTCACCTATGATTCATTGAATATAAAACATAACCTTTTTTAAAAAAAATTGTTTTCCTAATAATTCAAGTTCTCAGAAGTGTCCGTCAATAATCCTTGTTTTTACAGTCATTAACTTGCGATTTCGAACCTAGACAATAATATTTCATGACTGTTGGTTCTTAGGGCAACTATGTATGGACGCAGAACAATGTCCTTTAAAATTATGTTGTCTTCTAATTTTTAATATTGATTTGCTTTTGTCTAAAGTACTTGTTGTAAATTTAACAGTTTTGTCATTAATATCTTGTTTGCAAATCACACAAACAACGTTTGCAGATTCCATTTTACTCACTATTTACTTAAATATGAATAATCGTTGGCACAACTGACGTACACAAAAATAACTACACAATTAATATTTCTATTTAATTGAAATTTAAATCATTACAATACTTCACAATATTAAAACAGTGAAATTCTGCGTAAGATTTTACATAGATAAATCGTTGATATCTGCGACGGTTTTTTTTACAGGTATAGGCCCTATTTTCCAGTAAGATAAACTGTCTCAATCGCACCACCGAGTTCACGTTGAACAGCTTACTCACACTTCCATAGCATCTTTCCACTCACGAGGCAAATACTTATGCTAGCCAGAACTGCCTGTCATTCTACCTACTTACTTTAAATATATCGCAAATAAAATTATAATAAAACTTTACCTAGTTAAATTAAATGCAAATAACATGACACTACAGACAGACCGATTAAGTTTTTTATACTTTCCAACAATATGGGTTTTAAATGAAAGGACTTTCCAAGAATATGAGGTTTTTGAAGTCCTCAGTTATATCTTATATATGAAATTCTATATAATTGAGCGCTAAGTCAGAGGTGTCATGTTATTCTTAATGTATTAAAACTTTGTTTCTTTTTAGATGATGAAATCAGGAACTAAGAATCCTATTATGATGATGAAGAAAGTGATGATTATGAAGATTTACTAATTAATTTAAAGATTTATAATAATAAAAAATATTTTACCCATAACTTTTATTTTCACATCATTTAATTTGCATGAATAATATACCGTAAGTTTTCATACTACGACTCTTACTCGCACTGCCGCAGCATCTTTCTCCTCGCCTGGCAAGGACTTGTGCTAGCCAGAACCGCCTGGCATTCTACCTACTTACTTTAAATCGCTTAAACAACACATATATAAATTTCAACTTTACAGAATAAAGTTTATTTTTATGCATATCTACATACCTTCCGGTTCGTCTGGCAGGTACTTGTGCACATCGTAAACGTCTGGCAATATTTTTTTTAAACTTAAAAATGAATAAACTACATTGTATAAAAATTTCAAGCTTACAGCAACAAGATTTTTTTAAATATTTTTTTGACACTTTCAGAAATACAGTGGAGCCCCGGTAATCCGGCCCCTGGCTAATGCGGCACCCCCTATAATCCGACATCGTCTATTACATACAAGTATTCGCTAATTCACGATTGAACAAGTTACAACTTGTACGCACCATCACTATTGTGCTCGACGCGTAGGGTATTGCTTTTTAAATATTTTTTTGTAAATTCTATAGCATTAATGACGTTACTTTTATAATAAAACGTAATCTTTCTATTGTGTTGTTTAATTTACTAAAGACATACATAACAAAGTATGATTTGTAATCTTATCATTGGATCTGTAATTTGTCGGATTACAAGGTACTCTTTTGTAAAAAAACGGACTATAGGGGGTCTTAGGCAGTACTCTATAATCCGACAAATTAGATAGTTCGACACTGCCCTGCAAAATGTTTGTCGGACTACCGGGGATCTACTGTATACGGCTTGATGACGTGCAAGGCTGAGGAGTGCCAGACGATGCTTACCGTACTAAGCATGCTATGACTCATCACCATAAGAATTTCTAGCCTTACAGACAGACCGTTACTCGGGGGGTTCAGTAGCTCTCCTACTATTTGTGTAGAAGTAAACTTACTCGGTAGCGTGTAGCACAACCAACTTGCCGTTTTCGGGTCCACCTCTATATCCTGCATGTGCGTGGGCTCGCCCGTACCACCGCTGTACAGGAAAGAGGCGAGCATTGTCTTGTTCTATACAAATGGAACAAAAAAAAATAAAGTTATTACGCCAAATAGTTGAATTTAACATATTTATGACACAGCAGGGATCGAGTCATTTTTTGGAATGAAAATTATTCAATTAAGATTTTTAGTCTGGGTTGATGTTTAACTTTAATTTCTATGCATATGTTACGACTAATAGCCGAAGTACAGCTACACCTAGTTTTAGCCGGCTACAACTAGGAGCAACCCGCCCCATGCGGTTAAACTCAGGTGTATCCTACTTATCTTCGGTTACAACTAGATTTAGCCTTTATTATAGCAGCTAAAACTAGGTGCAGCCACACACCGGTGGTTAAACTTAGGTGTACCCTATTTATCATCGGCTAGAACTAGGTTTTCAGTTCAGTTGTTTTGAGATTCTAATTTCGCGTTTCCCGATTGATTCGATTACATGGAATAAATAAAAGACATGGATAGGATGAGGGATGTTTAAGTGACATTTATTATTTGACAGGCAAAAATCTTTTAATAAAAAAGGCGTTATTATAAGTAATTAAAACGGAAAATATTATAAATTTTCTCTACATAAACTAACAGAACTAGACATAATAAAATAAGCATAAAAAATAAAGTTTTACTTCTTAACTATGAAAAAATCAACTAAGTGTTTGTTCTCTTCTCTCATATTTTTATGTTAAAACAAAAAGGATAAGTCTTTTACTCAGTTTTAATTATACAAAAATCAACAAACTCTTATAAGTGATAGTATGTTGCAAGAATGTCTATCACTTATTTAAACAAGATAAACTTGAATGGTATTTGGAGTTACAAAAGTCCAAGGACGCGCGGCGGGCCGGTCGCGACGCCAACTCCTTCCCCGCGTCTATACCGCGCTGCCAACTTGACGAACTCTTTAGTGCCTACTCACTGTAGTTTTTACTACAGAGGGACTCTCCACATTAAAAGACGAAATTTCATTTCAGTTCATAATATAATTCAACACAATTACGAGTATAAATCTTGTTTCGGACTGGCATGGTTTATGGCTTGTCTAGGATAAGATATCTTATCTACCGGGGTGATGATACAAAATCGAATCAATCAGGAAACGCAAGATAAGAATCTCAAAATAAAACCAAAATCCTTAAGTGAACTGAAAACCTAGTTCTAGCCGATAATAAATAGGATGCACCTAAGTTTAACCACCAGTGTGCGGCTGACCTAGTTCTAGCCGCTATAATGAAGGCTAAACCTAGTTGTAACCGAAGATAAGTAGGATACACATAAGTTTACCGCATGTGGCGGGCTGCACCTAGTTGTAGCCGGCTAAAACTAGGTGTAGCCGCACTTCGGCTATTAGCCGTGACACATACATTAAAAACGTACCCCATCATTTTGTAAAAATACATAAATATTACAAAATTTGTAAATTGTAGAAAAATATCCCAAGTTAATGGGACGGGGTCAATGACGTTCGTGTATACTTGATCCCTAGACACTTGAATATGCAAGTGCGTATAAATAATCAAAGATGTAAGTATATGTATCTCGCTTCCACTCACAACAGTGTCTCGTGTGTTATCTAGATGTACACATATGATGTGCGGGCGATCTTCTGTGGTGCCGCCCGGATAGGTAATCTCGACCCATCGGGCTTTGTTTCTGTCCTCATCGCCGCTCTCCCAGAAGGTTTCTGTGCTGCCATCTGTCAATGCACCGGCCATCCCTTGCCGCGATGATACCGTGATGTCGCACCAGCTCGTCACGTCAGGACAACTCCATACGTAATTTTCCTATTTTATACAAAAATCTTGGTCACTTTGACTGTGTCTATTTTAAAAAAAATATGTAATTATGGTAATATGACATATTATCGTCTTTTAACCTAGTTGAGGCACCAGTTTCTCACAATCTATTTACTGCCTTTATCTAAAATTATTATAGAATAAGTTGTCTTGTAATATGTAGATAGTGGAAGCAAAACAAAGCCTATTATTATTTAAAAAAAAGTATGTAAGTCATTGAAAAAAAATATAAATAAATAAAATATTTTTACTGTTAAAATTGGCAGTTATACAATATAAGGCTCACTTGCAGCAAATTTCTTAAATTTCGATTCAATACGAAAATGTCAAAACGACAATGTTAACTTTACATCATTCTATCTAAAGTATGGTCATCTAGAAGAGATACAAAAAGTAAACAAAGTCGATGATGAAAGGTCATTAGTCAATGCAGGGGTTGGCCACATTTTTGAAAAACAAATTTTATTAATGAAAATTAATATTGGATTTAAATCATTTTAATAGGCATATGTTTCAATAAAATGTAGCAAACTGTGTATTATTATGATTAATATTTTAAAATGCTAAAATTACTTAAATCAATTCTTAAAATAAGGACAACAATAAAACGTTTTTATATAACAGTTTTATTTATTCAGATGCCTATTCTTTTCAGTAAATCAAAACAGTTCAGAAAACAAATAAAAATATTTATTACCACGAGCAGTATCGGAAAAACACGGACCCAAATGAAAATATGTCATTATTTTTTACTATAAATTGGGCGTCCCAATGTTGGAAAACTCGGCGCCTCGGCAATGACTTGACATAACCGAATGAGAAATAAGATGAAAGAGATAGATATTAGACTGTCAGTCACATAGTCTCGTATTTTAAGGTGAATGAACTTTTGTATCGCTTCTCGTTGGCCCTACTTTAGCTATATCTAGTTTTAGTTGAATCTCGATTTAGCAAATTTGCAGCAAGTGGATCTTTATAATTTTTCATATATAAAACACGGCCTCAATCTCATCAAACGAAAAAACAATATTAAATTACACAGTGAAGTTAATAACATTACAAAGTGCTGTATTAATGCAAGTGAATTGAATTCATTTGGATTTTAAATTGTTTGTGCTCTAAATTACCTGACATACATAATTCTGGCATACTACCTTATTGCTATAGCTGTGGAAACTTTCGTGTAAAGCGCCTAGCAAGGTTTCGTCGTAGGCATCATCCTCCGGGTGCGACAGAACTTTGCTGATGACGCTAAACACTTGAGATCTGATCCAGGCAGCGTTAACAGTGCACCACGATTCATTAGCGTTTCATTTCATATTCTTCAGTTCAAATAATATGTTATACCATACATCCAGCAACCTTGTTATAGGTATTATTTAACTACTTATGCTTAAAAATATATATTTTGATATAATAAACAATCTTTATTTTATAACATCAAACACAGTAGCAACGAATATTTACCTACAACCTGTTTAAATTGACAAAGAACAGTTTATCAAACTAAACAATAAAATAATATATATTTTGAAATGTAGTTCGAAGGACAATTGCGGGCTTGTATATTTAATACAATGTTGCCTAAAATAATACAATACAGTTAGGTAAATAACAGCCTTTAGTAAACTCTCACCACTGGACACATTTTGAGATTGTATTTGTAGCAGCATTGACAGTGATATTCGTAGTGAATATGGTTCCACTGTAATGGCTTACTGTTCTGGTGGAACCTGATACTAATTTTTTTTTTAATTCAAATGTTGTCCTTAGTGTTACAAAGACGGCAAAAAAAACTTATCTCTCAAATCGGTTGAGCAGTTGTCGATTAATATTTATATGTAGCAGCTACAAATGACTTGAACTGTATTTTAATACAGTAAGGGCCACTTGCAACAAATTAGCTAAATCTCAATTTAACTAAAACTAAATTAAGTGCATACAAAAAAGTCAAAACGTCAATGTCTATTTGACATTATTGTATGGGCTATATCCAGTTTTAGTTAAATTGAGATTTAACAAAATAGTTGCAAGTGGACCTAAATCAGGTATTTTCTCACCTGTGCAGGAATGCTCGATCGTAGGGTGAGTAGTGCAGCGCCCAACACCGTATAGCTTGCAGGCCGGCCGCACTCGCGGGAGGTAGCGATGGCGCCAGTGTGCTTACTGAGCCCAGGAACGCGTGGAATGCTGTCCTAGCCCCTCGCAACGCATTGCCACCGGGACATATCGACGACGCCGCTGGGAACGTCGAAGCGAGGCGGTTGTTGTCGTTCGCGGACGCCTAACAAATTTAATATTTTTCTTATAAGATTTTGGAAATAAATGCTTTTACTTAGGTAGAACAAAAATACGCTGTAAGCTGTCCTAGCGCCTCGGACTAAGCTACCGCCGGGACATACATAACAACGACGTTGCTGAGAACGACGCTGTGCTGCGGTTATTGTCCTTCGCGGACGACTAATCATATCAAACATACATATATCGATTACGGTTCTAAGCGCTTTTACTTAGGTACTTTTGGCACCAGATCTGTGCCAGGCCTCGAACCACTACAATACGCGGGTCTATTGCGTATTCGGGCTGATAATGACCATCGATTAATAAACGGCTTGACATGCCATACGAAGCACGGAGCACAAAAATAATAAAATTTTGGTCACCATGGAATTTGTTTAACTTTACCAATCTTACACGCTATATAAAATGAAATATTTATTCGATGATTCAAACCTAGGAATAACACTAAGCATAAGAATCTTATATCGTAAAGAAATAACAAGAAACTTTAAGATTATTATCTTCTCGATGGAATAAGTCAATCCTTGACGACCTCCGCAGAACATTCTGCTCCTGTCAGAAAGTGTTGTATCGCTACTCTCTATAGTTTCTTTATTGGTGCGAGTTACTACTATTCCATTTATGAAACCGAATAAAAATATAAATATATATATATATATATATAATTACCTCCTTATTGTCGTCAAGGGGGGGCGGTGATGGCACAGTGCGAGTGTACTTGTCGAGCGCGCTACAGAACCACCACATGACGTCGTGAACGCCCGTCGGTTGCGTTGTGGACCGTAACAACCAGTTCAGCGCCTATAGTATACCAATGAGTATTTATTGAAGTGAAACTTCTATATAGACGGGGGTATTAGGATTTTGCTGTACGAAATAGCGTTACGGCCGCGTGGAGGGGGTAGAAGATATATCGATTATAAGAGACTACAGACAAACCCTATAACGCTGTCTGTCTCAAAGTTAGTTTGTTATGGTTTCATACTTAATACAGGTCACGTAAAAAAATACATCTGGTATCGTATACAGAATCTCAGAGGAGTTGCATACCATCAAGTGTGCCAAAAAGAATATCGTATTTATTTTTTATATTTTAGTCGATAGTAAGCAACAGATTTTAGATTGATTATTACAAGCGGTAATTATGAAATTCAATAACGCTTTGACGAGATTTCACTATAAAGTTCAAGAAAAGTAATCACATATTTTGATGTTCAATTGAACATAACATATGGATACGTACCTCGAACGCGTACTGTCGCACTGTGTTGATGCGCACAGCGCCGTCCAGTTTTTGTGTGTACGCGTGCAGATCGCGTCGACTAAGCACGAATGCTAGCACTGGCCGCCGCATCAAAGCGTCCGCCGACACGTGTGGCGCTTCAAAGGCGGACACCGCGCCGGCACTCTCACCGCACCCCACCAGCTTGCGGAGCGCCTCGCTCGGCTGAGACAGCAGCGACGATCCTACACCTGCACCGATACAAAGGGAGCTTATAACATACTAGCGGCCGCGCGCGACTTCGTCCGCATTATCTTTAGTTTTTTGAGAATCCCACAGACACCTAAAACTTTTCCGTTATAAAAAGTACTAGCAAACCAGTGAACCAAATGTTCACCAAAAAAAAAATGTATTTAATTAATTGAGAACTTCGGAGATTTTGTGTGGTTTCGTTTGAAATAGAAATCACGTGATTTCTCGAAAACCGGAAGTGCTCATTACTCACATCCGGTTTGTAGTCTTATCAGACTATTCTCAACTTATAACTTAAACATTCTCTTTATCTATCTCTTACGGTTTGGCCGCTGAAACAGCACCACGGACGGACGGACGGACTTGTCTAATAGATAAGAGATACTATGTCTCAATTCAGCTCATAAACTGTATGCGTACCAAATTGCAATAAAATCTGTTCAGTACTTTTTGTTGTAAAACTGGCTGGCGATACTCTATTCATAGGTTTAATCTAAATTCTATTGTCTGTCACTTTGACACCATCACTTTCTGTTTACCTTAGTTACCTAATATATATCTCTGTACAATTCTTACAAAGTTTTTCTTTCACAACATTCGTTATCAGCACGATGCTCACTAAAATGGGTCATCAATTCAGTGGTATTAAATTATGATCTTCTCGTGATTGGATATAGCATTTGGAATTTAAAATATAATAAATAAATAAATATTTCCAACACTCACACCAATTAGCCTAGCCCCAAAGTAAGCACTATAAGGCTTGTGTTATGGAATACTAGGGTAACGGATGTGTATTCTACACATACTTTACATGAGGCTGCAGAATGTCACTAGAACGCCGATTGTACAGGTATACATTGGTTGAACATTGAGTCTTATATAATATAAATGCTGTTATGTGTACTGTTCAAGATCTAGCAGACATTGTTAAAATCATAGATGAGGAGTCTGTAGATGCTCTTTTATTAGGAGGGTTGTCAGTTAAATAATAACTTCTTATAATGGCACTTGAGAACTCCAATGTAAATGTAACAAGTGATTTAGTTAAAAATAACTCGGTGAACGAAATGGTCCAAGACGTACCTCAAAATGACGTTTTAGCACTAAGTTCGAGAAGATCAAATAATAAGTCAATAAGGCCTATATTCTGTTACCAGTGTCACGAGCCAGGGCATAAGAATCCTCAATGCCCTCATAAAAAAGTTACGAAGAAAGCAAACCTTGGTTTTTTAGAGGATAAAGGTACACTTTGTGCTCAGGAAGATTCAACCTTACTTTCTGTACTTTTGTAGCTGCGAATAAAGAAAACAAATGTGAACTATGGTACATTGACTCTGGTGCAACAACTCATATCACTCCTAGTTTGGATTTTTTTGAAAATATAGTTACGGATACAGTTGATCCAGGATGCCTTTTCTGTTACTATTGCAAATGGAGACAAATTGCCAATTGTAGGAATAGGTGATATTGCTATTGATAGAATTCCAAATATAAGTAAAATTACAGACCTTGTTTTTGTACCAGGTTTACATTGTAACAGAAATTCGATCTGTCAAGAAAGCTGTTATATTTGATAGACGCGATTGTAACTTTTATAATAATATCGAAGTAACTTATATTGATAATTGTATTTTGCAGGGTTCCTATAATGGTGGTTTACATAGTTTGGATTTAATTCCAAATGAACATGAACTTACAGCATTACATTTGGTTGTGAATGTGGAACGTAAAGTGCGCTATGAATTGACAGAATTTCGACTGAATGACGACCTCCGTGGCCGAGTATTTTTTAAGCCGGGTTTCATGGCGTCGCCGAATCGACAGGTCCCGCGTTCGAATCCCGGTGGGGGCAGATGTTTGTGTGATGAACACGAGCATTTGTACTCCAGACAGGGTGTTTAATATGTATTTCTATATAAATATACTTATATGTAAAGCATAATGTATTCTATCCGTTACCCTAGTATCCCATAACACAAGCCTTATAGTGCTTACTTTGGGGCTGGGTTAATTGGTGTGTTTGCTGATGTAGATAAGAATCCCTGCATAGCTTGTATAGAAGGTAAGCAAGCTAGGAAACTTTTTAAAAAGATTAAATATAAACGCGCAAGTTCTGCTCTAGAACTCATTCACGCAGATGTATGTGGCCCGTTTTCTACAAATAGTTTTAAAAATACCTTATATTTATTTTTAATTCTTATTGATGATTTTACAAGAATGATGTTTGTTTACTGATTTTCTTCAAAAACCGACGACGTTTTTGAATTTTTTATAGGTTTTCATAATTTTGTTGAGCTACAATTCACTCCAATAATTAAATGTTTGCGAACAGATAATGGAACTGAGTTCGTTAACTAACAGATGTCCAATTATCTTCAAAGCTTTGGTATTAAACACGGGAACTCATTCACGTCGATGTATAGAACCTATGAATAGAGTACTATTCATAGGTTTAAACTAAATTATATTGTCTGTCACTTTGATACAATCACTTTCTGGTTACCAAAGCTACCTAATACATATCTCTGTACAATCCTTACAAGTTTTATCCTTACAAGACACAGACGGAGCTTATGACATATCATTGACTACAGCCGCACCACACCAGCGATGATCCCACACCTGCACCGACACAGACGGAGCTTATGACATATCATCGACTACAGCCGCACCACACCAGCGATGATCCCACACCTGCACCGACACAGACGGAGCTTATGACATATCATCGACTACAGCCGTACCACAGCAGCGATGATCCCACACCTGCACCGACACAGACGGAGCTTATGGCATATCATCGACTATAGCCGCCACCCCACCAGCGACGATCCCACACCTGCGCCGACACAGACGGAGCTTATGGCATATCATCGACTACAGCCGCCACCCCACCAGCGACGATCCCACACCTGCACCGACACAGACGGAGTTTATGTCATATTGACTACAACCGACATCAGAGATTGCATTGCTTTATGACATATCGACAACAACGCCACTTTGTCGGCGTGCACATAAGCGAAAATCCCACGTTTCAACACACACTGACAAAGTTGCAAATGCAAAATTCAGTTTCATTTACTCACCAAATTTAGTTAAAAATTCTCACAACTTTAAAATAATATATATCCATTACTAACTGTAAGCTGGTTTACCCAGCGTGCAGCGTAGAAAAATAATTATATAACAAATATTATCAAAATTTACATGTAAATCACATTTAAAATTTCTGTTTCATTAAAATATGAATTTATCTGTTCCAATAATGAGAAGTCCTTTAAGTAGGTACTTCTTTATCAAATTCACCTGATAAGGAGTCTTCTGCTAGCTGGAAGTCAACAGGAGCAAGTGGTGCATTGTTTTTTCTAGCCGCGGTTGCTAGATCACGAGCTCCCGTCTGCCCCATGGATATGGAACGTTGAACTCGTGGTGGTAGGTCACGGACTTGTTCAGTCCCCGTCGATTCCTAAACAATATTAAAAGAATAAATACTTGTTAAAGATAGATGTACCAAACTTATAATAGGGGTCCCAAGAGGGGATTTGGTGATTTACTCGAGACAGATTAATATATGGGAAGATAACTCACATCTATTTGAGTACCACTACCAAATCTGAGTTCTCCATGTAGTGCCGCGTGCGTAGACCAGTCGATCAGAATAGTAAAAAAAATCGATAGACGGAATTACTCGAGCGCGTCAGATTAAAGTATGGTGGGTAACACTAAGGCATCTATAGCTAATAACATGAAAGGAGTTACTTACCATTGCTGCGGGCAGTGGGGGCGGACGGCCTAATGAATGGTATCTGGTAGTGTCAGGTGGTCCATTAGATTTGGGCGCCAGTCCTAAAGCTGGTAAACACTGGAATGGCGGCGCGGGTTGCCACAAACTACCCGGTGGGGTCGGCGGACTACGTGCTTGTCCTTCGTGAATTGGTGACACTCGCCCTAGAGATTCTGTTGAAACGTAAAATATTTTAAAGGATTTTTTTTAAAGCAGCAGTTATCGACACTGCATGTTAGAGAAGAAATAAATTGATGTGCCTCACCTGAATTCGTTAAAGGAGCCAAATCTAATAAAAAAACTGCGTTTTCCCTGATTATATGGTGATCTATCTCCGGGACTGCCGGGGCGCGTTCGTAGCAAACATCCGATATGGTTTTCGTCTTGACTTTGACTGAAGAAACCGCTTTCAGTGCCTTGTCTCGACACTTTTCACAGAACGTGTACCATAATTGGGAAGCTGTTAGAATAAAAAGAACTTAAGTTTTTAGACAGGTAATGTTTCTATATACATTGTTCTATTCTACTTTTTAGATCAGAATAATGGTAAGGTTATTATATTTTTTTATACATGATGTTTAGATCTAATAAGAGATTTAAAGAAATAAATTACTCGATGAAAAGCTCTCACGTTGATAAAACTATGAATATGATGTAAAGATGGATAATATCTATTTTGCCACCATTAAAGGATTTTACGTCAAGTGAAAAGAGGAATCAAAGAACAATGTTTCGCTTGGTGATAATTGAGAGTATATACAGCTTGTGTTGGGTAGCACAGAAACCTCCTGATCGGTAATAATCGGGATTACTGTCGTCCGACTTGAATGTAGATTATTTTCATTTCATTATTTCATTTGGGCGCGTCCGTGTACAGGCGCGGCATCAGCAAAGGAAGAGAGTTTCTGAGCTCCCATAGAGAGAGGTCTAAAGGAACATCGCAGGGCGGGGTCGTGGTTGAATTAGTAAAAGTCTAGGCTCACGGTTTTACCCAACTATTTGCGTGAAGAAACACTCCGGTGGTTTTTACTGATTTCGAGTTCCACATAATCATCCTATCTCTATAACGGTACAGGTACAGGTCGCGTTATGTAAAAAGAACACTGGAAGAAAGCGCATGGGTGCACTCACGCACAAAAGTGGTCGTGCGGCACCCGAGGTGCAACAACAACGGATGCCCGCAGGCGGCGACCGCGGCATCGGCGGGTGCGGCGACATCGGCGCGGCGTTACACGCCGGAGCGATGGTAGCCGCGCGCGGTAGGCGTGCGGCACCCGGGGTGTGGATACAACTAGGGGTGAGCAGTACACAAACCTTGCGCCAGCTGCCCGCAGGCGGCGACCGCAGCATCGGCGGGTGCGGCGACGTCGGCGCGGCGGTACACGCCGGAGCGATCGTAGCCGCGCGCGGTGGGCGTGCGACACCCGGGGTGCACGTGCCGCATGTGCGCCGCTAGAGGGGGCGGCACCCCCGACCCCCCGCACAGCTCGCAGTTCACTGGACAATCATACCCAACATGCTGCACTGCGAGTGATACAGAAACGTACAATGCACCAGTTTTCCCATTATTAAAAAAATACAAGTAATAACAAATAAAGCAACTTAGCCACATCAATAAAATAAATAATAAAATTTTCCAGCACGAAAAATAACTTATAGTAATATCAACAATACCTAATCTAAAAGAAATTAAACTACAACATTGATTGAGATACAACAATAACAAATAATAATACTATTTTGAAAGGTAAATTAATCAAAAATTAAATTAAAACAATAACAACCATACAGGGTTACATTCAAATAAAATTGTATTACCTCAGCTTATGATTTTATACCTATGTTCCACAATGGCCACAAATAATCTGTGAACTTGCAAATTTTCGGATTTAAGGCAAAAGCATATTCACTAACTCATATTGAAATGACGTTCAGTTATTTTGAACAGAAATTGTTTATTATGTTCAGAATGGTTTATTACTGAAAGGAAATCGTAATTATAAGTAAATATATAAAGAACGGTATTTGAGAGTATTAAAATATAGTGCCAATTGTTGGCATGTATTAAGAATTATTATTGGCAGCGGTTTTTAAATTGTTTTCAGAAAAAACATATATAATTGAACTTATAACCTGAAAAGTACCCCATCTGATGTTAAATGGTGATAAAGTCCAAACGCGAAGATAGCTGGTACACACACGCTGGTTATTAAATGCTACACCAACCATCCTCACCTTGCCGGCCTGCAAAAATGCTTCTTCACGCCTCTCTTAAAGGACCCCAGATTGAAGAAAAGAAAGAACATGTGCGCAGTCAAAGATTTCCACTTCCGATTAGTACGACAAATAAATTAGTCACCAAAGTTCTTTGTTCGTATAGAAATAGTTGTCACAGTAAGTCGGTGGCAACGTAGGCCAGCGCGCGTGGTCCTCTGAAGATAATGGAGGGATAAGGGAGAATAACTCCTCAGTACACTCGCCATGGTATAGTCGGCAGAATGCGCTTAATGATGCCACATCGCGGCGTAACATAATAGCGGAGCCATCCCAGAGGTGCGAACAATATTCCACGCAGGACCGCTCTTGCGTTTTGTACAACAAGCACAGTTGATCAGGCGTGAAAAAACGACGCACCTTGTCCAGGACTTCGAGTTTGCGTGAAGCTGTTTTAATCACCGTTTCGTACATCGAAATCGTCCAGGTCATCATTTAGGTGTGAGCACTTCCATACCGAGCATGGTGATGTTGCTCTGTAGCGCCAGTGTTGTGCCCTGAAGAGAGGGAAGGGGAATGGCGATGTTTTTGCCGTGAAAGCGCAAACCTGGGTTTGCTTGGCATTGAGCTCAACCAAGTTCCTGGTACCTTATCGGAAATATGGTCCAAAGCCTGATTGAGTTCAGCGACAAGATTCTCCCGTTTCTCTTTGGTTTCTACCTGTCCAGCCGCTGCGTGTTCAATTTCGCATACACTGTACTTTCGTTTGTATTGCAGCTTTCAGTGAGTCAACCCCGGGAACCTTAAGAGCGCAGCCTCTGATCTGATCCAAGCGCGATATACCGCCTGCTTACTTAAAACAGCATCAGCACAGCCGCGATTGAACCAGCGGTGACGTGTGCCCTTACTGATGAGATCAGAATGAGTAATGTAATACTCCATTCCCATTACGATCTCCTCAGTACTAGCAACGGCGCTGGCCGATATTTTATTAAACGTCAAATGTGATCTATTAAATTGGTCGTACTTTAGCAATATAGGTCCTAGAGGAAAAAAAGGATCGTTTGGATATTTGAAAAATCCTGAGTAGACTTTCTTCGTAGCTGAATTTTCTACTTCTTCGCCTTATTGAAAGAGTACATTATTTTTTAAAGGGTAGGTCCGAGCCAATGACTCCACTCCCCCGGCTGTCAATAAATATGATAAAAAAACTTTTTAAATCACATAGTTTACATACCCGAGTATGGTGTTTTCGATATCGATCTCCAAACTTTCTTTTGTCGAACTTTGATTATTGGACGCGGGTCTTCTTCATCTTTACCTTCTTCTTTCTTCGTTCTGTCAATTTGTAAATCACAATATATTCTATTGCTATAAAAAACCAGGCCAATTTTTTAATAAAAGTGCCAAGAACACTTACTTGTCAGTGGTGATGTTGAGTTGCTTTGCTTCGCACAGTGCGTCCCATAATGCTACAAGAGCGCGCAATGCAGGCGGCAGAACATTGACTACAGACGGCGAAGATTCTATGAAAACAATAAAACGTTAAGCAATCAAAATTTTATAATAACTAAAACAAAACAGATTGCGACAACTTATATTTGCATATTGACCCGGAAACTGAAGTAAAATACATCCCCTTTCGATATATAAGCTTAGTTACAAAGAACAGAAATTTGCATTTGAAACGAAATCTGTTATCTAATGTAAAATTCTCTCTAAATAGCTATAGATTATAAACGAATCACAATAGAAACGATTTGACTAGCATAGGGACTGTTTGCGGTGAGACACTCTCGCCTCGGTGCTGCCATCTAGCTGCCTTCGTTACAGAAAAGACCCCGAAGAAAAAAGCTTTTTGAGTGAATAAAATCGTCATTGCTAAATGTATCTATTACAAAAAGTTGTCATTTGTAATGATCACAATCTAATTTATCAAAACACGTACCTTCTGTGGTTTCTTCTTCGTTGATGGGCGCGTGCGCGTCGACTTCGCTCTTACGTACCCTGTTAGCACTCGCTTCTTCCCCAGACCGCGTCAACGTCTCCAAAGTCGACGGGTGGATGCTCAAATATTGTCCTGCTAGAACGATATCCCACTTACAGTGACATTCAGAAGTTGAAACTTAATTTGATTTTTGAATAGCGAAGGGAGCGGATTCGAATCTCTTCTGCTGCCTGGTCCGCGTCGAATTTTTTCTAGTAATATTTTGTTTAAATTAAAACATCGATCAGTTACATGCTTAAAAATAATAATTTTAACTTAATTTAATATTAAAAAACTGCCCATGCGCGAGCCTGACCTCGTTCTATTAGGGTTCCGTACAATAAACTAAGTATTTATGTAAATAATTAGGTTATGATTTTTCTGACCTGATTCTTTTTTAACATATAATAACAAGGAACCTTCAATAACATAACATGTTACTGAAGGTTCCGTTTTTCACTTTGGGTACGGAACCCTAAAAAAGGTTTACTTACTATAATTTTACCTTCCATAAATAGGTACAAATTTCAGATATGCAAGGAGGGATCGCATTAAATACCCAAGAACCAGTAGGATGTGAACGTGCCATCGCAGTATTTTAACCAAGATAATGTTAGACAATGAACAAATTTAACTCACCTGCATTGGAGACCTCTACGGAATGCCTTTGCAATCGCACGGAGTGGTCGGAGGGAGCGCGAGTGACCACGCGCGCGCCCTGTTTTGGCAGTTGCGGATGAAACTTCAGAAACGCAGCGCATGCTATCGCGTCGTGGACGATGCCTGTCCGTGTAAACGCGATTTAAATATAAACTTAAATACTTTCCTGTTAATCTTATTTGGTATGACTTTTAATTAGTTAATAATACAAAGATAATAGTGGTGACGATTCTGGCATGATTCCATTAAACTTAAAACTAAATTTAACATCACTCTCCCCTTCTCAAGGGAAGGGAACACTGTTAACAATGACAAATTTAAGTTAAAGTTAAGAGAATCATATCAGAATCGAGCCCGGTGTTAATTCTAGTTTTCGGTTAAGTTATAATATAACAACAATAAATTAATAGTTTAAAAAACTAAAACGCGCTATTATTTACTGCTCTAAGAAGCCAAAAATAAACAAAATATACTCTTTGTTTACTTCATTAGTACCTTAGAGTAAGCCATGTTTATAATTTATTTTAACATACATATTCAGTGGTGGTCACATAATAAGACACTCCCTAATTGACCACATAAAACTTAGTTATGGTACTAAAATTAGCTAAAATTGGTATTTAATCTAGTGTATATGTTATTGTACACGACGTTGTATTCTTACAATGTGGGACAAAAAATAGTTGTGTTCGTTAGTAGTTTAGACACTGCTAACTATGGGAACATAACACAAACTTTTTTAACGTACTTATAGCTGGCCAGCTAATTAAAGACACTCAATTTGCTTAGAATAAATAGAAATAAATATTGTTATTATTGAATTTTTTTTTTATTTTATTTCGAACATTCGTACGATGAAGTTATACTTTCTTTATTCATATTTCTTAATATATGACGACCACTGTATATTAAAACTTCATGCCAGAGCAGAGCGGCGAAGATGGCGAGCAGGCAGTCCGCCTGGGCCAGTTTCCTGGGCGGGGGCGGCACTGCTCGGGCAGGTAGCCGCGGTGAACTCGCGAGCTTGTTAGGCGGGCCTCCTATGGAACCATGCGTATACCAAAGTATTACCTTCATGCCAGAGCAGAGCGGCGAAGATGGCGCGCAGGCACTCTGCTTGGGCCGGGCTGAGGGCCAGTTTCCTAGGCGGGGGTGGCGCCACTCGGGCGGGTAGAGGCGGCGGTGAGCTCGCGCGCTTGTAGGGCGGGCGGGCTCTTCGGGCCAAGCGGTCACGTACAGTATTACGGGGGCTTTGGCGCGCCTCCTGTGGATACCAAGCATAATTTGATAACAGGAGCTCAAGCACGTATTTTGACAGCTCAGTGATCGAATCGATCTTCAAAGTTTCTATAAAACTATCGGACGTAAGAGCAAATTAGCTTTTTCTCAAAGAATCAAAGAAAGCACATCGTGTATATGACTGCCAGAAAAGTGTGAAAGAAACGAAGCGATTTAGCAACAAGTAGTTCGCGTTATAATAAATCCGATAGCAGGCTAAGAAATAGTCGCTCCATTCTCTATGTACCAAACACAATAAAAAGATAATTTAAGATATAAAAAAACCAAGTCAAATTGCTCCTGTCACCTTCCGGGTTTTATAACTGATATTGTCATTAATTTTTAAGTTGTTACCGCTATGGAATAAAGGTAAAGATCATGCAATAAACAAGGTGAAGGGTATACAATAACTAAAAGGACAGAAAAAATAAGACTTTCTTACAGACGTTAAGACGCTGGATTACCTTCGAATTAAGATACAAGTGTATGGCGGTCGAGTCGTCTTCAGGCGATGTCTGAGTGCCGGCCTGCGCGAGTCTAGCGCCCTTCTCCGATTCTACTTCCGTCTGCAAAAATGCTAAGTTACAACGCAAGTCCGGCAAGTACATATCACTCTTCAGAACTAGAACCAAAGCATAGAAGAAAAGCGTTTGCAAATAATGAGACGAGCTTTTATTATATAGTGTTGTACCCGCGATACCGGTTTTTCAAGTTATATTTTTATTTGACGCTTTTTTTATATTATATATATTATTCATTTTTTTAAAAATTATAGCACTTCTTATCAATATATAATATTTTATGTGTTGTACATTAAAATACGCCATTTTTATTAGGCTTCCGTAGTCCTGACAAGAAACCCTTATAGTTTCGTCATGTCCGTCTGTCTGTTCGTCTCCGGTTTTGCTTCGAGAGTGTTAGCACTAGAGAGCTGTAATTTTGTGGAAATATGTAATCAATGAGATCGACAAAATGGGATATTTTTAGGGTAGCTCCCCTACATGTAAACTAAGGATGATTTTTTTTCATCGTCTACCCCATCGTTTGGGGTAACGGGGTGGGGTAATAGATGCTTTAAAATAATTTAGGGGTGTCCACGACTATTTTTCGATTTAGGAATGCGTTTGCGGAATATTGAACTTTAAAGTGCAAATTTTCGTTCGAATAGGGCGTTCCTCTTCCTAAGACTTCCTAAAACTGGAAGAATTCATGATGCTCTGATGCTGATAAATGCTTCTCATGAACTTATAAGGAAAATTATAACGGTTAAGATAGATTTGTTAGATTAAGAGTAATAGTAGTTAAACTTTATTAAAGAAATTTCTTACCTATTGAAAATTCCTTAGAAGAAAACATTAATACACATAACATAGATGAGCGTTAAACCTTGCATAAAAAACAAAATCTAAAAATGGCTATTTAAAATGAGTTCCACAAAGCTACCTTGAGTACCGGCGGCAGCGGCTTCTAAATCGCGCTATATTTCGTTTTTATTAAGAGTCTACAAGGCCACGACAGGCAACTACGGAACCCTACACCTCGCGTGCCTGTCGGTATTTTTGACCGTTTTTATGGTCAACAGGGTCATCTAGTCGACGTTACAGAAGTTTTATCATAGTTATAAATGCCGAGTCTGATGCTCTAATGATGACATTTCAGAAAATTCATATCTGATTAGTATAATATGGTTATCTTATAATGAACTTCAAATCTCCCTGTGTGTAAATAATGTTGTTTTCATGATTAGTAAATCATGAATTATAGAAAATGAAATAATCATCAATAGTAAATATGAATAATAATAAAGAAATTGGGGAAAAGAAAAAAACTATACGGGTTTTTAAGGGTTTTTATGTACCTGTGTGTAGACGCTTAACACTAAAATGGATGAAATAATTTCTTTTAAACAAAAAGTTAAAACTGACTTCAAGATTAAAAATAGAACCAAAATATCTGATTCACACGAAATCACGAAATCGGGCGAGATCTTGTATTATTTGAAAGTCTGATACAGTCTTATATTTCTACTAGGATTCAGAAAGTAGTTATAAATGAAGTTGCGTACAGGAGCACCCATTTCTATGGGCGTGCCCCAGGGTTCAATATTGGGCCCATTTCTTTTCCTTATTTATATCAATCACCTTCCTCCCTTTTTGCTGATGACACCTCTTTAGTGTTTAAAGCTAGAAGAGGAAATGATTGTTATGACGAAGTAAATTGTGCTCTCTCTGAAATTCTTCATTGGTTTACGGTAAATAATTTAAAACTTAACTCCAGTAAAAGAAAATGTGTTAAGTTTACTCTACCTAATGGGAGGCAGGTTAATACAAGTATAAAAATAAATGACCAGCCTGTAGAGTTAGTGGATTCTACAAAGTTTCTGGATATTACTTTAGGCCCTCGTCTGCAATGGAATCCTCATATTGATGCCTTATCAAGTAGACTGTGCTCTGCAGCTTTCGCTGTTAAAAAAATAAGACTCTTAACTGATGTGAAAACGGCAAGATTGGTTGACCTTGGTTATTTTCATAGTGTTCTGTCATATGGCCTTTTGTTGTGGGTCTCAGCTGCTAATATAGAAAGTATTTTCATACTGCAAAAGAGAGCTGTTCACGCCATATACAATTTAAAGGCAAGTGAATTTTTTAAAAATTTTTTTTTATAGATAGTTCCGACAAATGACTCCACCCCACCTGATGTTAAGTGAAGGTGAAGTCCAGACGTAAAGATAGCTGATACAGCAGTTTTACCTGCCACACCAGCCATCCCCACCCTGCCGGCCTGCATGTTGCTTCTTCACGCCTCTTTTAAAGGATCCCAGGTTGTAAGAGGGAAACACGTGAGCGGGCAGAGCATTCCATTTACGGATAGTGCGACAAAGAAATGAGTCACCAAATTTCTTTGTACGCGTTGGAATTGTGGCCACAGTTAGACGGTGACAACGTAGGCCAGCGCGCGTAGGATTTGCAATCCGGCGTCATTTTCAGTCTGGCCGGATACGACCGGATTTCCATCAATCCGCCCGGATCGGACCGGATCCGGCCGGATTGATCAAATCAGGATGATTTTCGATTTTTTGGACAAAATAAGTGAGTTAATCAAATGACACTGCACTTATATGTACGTAGTTTATAAAAAATAAATCAGAAATATATAAAATCGACTTTTTTTCCTAACCAATGTCAAGACAAATAGACAGCAAGAAAACAATTAAAATTTGGTAGTGTAAGAGTAATTAGTAATAATTTTACAGCGTAACGAGTAGCGCAGTCTTTCTAGATTTCACTTTCACAGATAGATCAATTTATGAGTAACAATATTAATTATCAAGTAACTATAATATCTAATAGATACACAGGCGCGGTCCGAAGGGGGGGGGGTCACAAAGGGTCATGACCCCCCAAAATCTTAGGTCAAATTGAAAAATCTCAAAAATTTGCCAAATAATAAAAGGAAATTTCTAGCTATCCCCTAACAGCGATAAATTTATAGTTTGCTGACATGTAGTGGTGTTTTTATAAACTACGTACGATGGCCAAAATAACTTGGAAATGACATCTAGTACCAGTTTAGAAACAAGGAACCGAACTACGTAGTTTTGGTAATTCTAGCAAAATCGACATGCGTCGTTTATCGCAATAATGTTTAATATTGTTTTTGAAAAAAAGATTGTAAAAAACAAATATTGTTAATAGTGTCATCAGCTAAACGTCTTCTAATAGAGCTGCAAATATAATCTGCGGCCGAAAAGGCCCTTTCAGCTTCTACACTTGTCGGCTTTATTGTAGCACCGGATTCGGTCTTCGGATCCGGTATATTGGTACCGGATCCGTTTTTCCGGATTGCAAACCCTAAGCGCGCGTGGTCCTCTGAAGGAAAGGAAAAGGTGGGATAAGAGAGAATAACTCCTCAGAACACTCGCCGTGGTATAGACGATAGAACGCGCTTAGTGACGCCACGTCACGGCGTAATTGAAGAGGCTCAAGGTGTTTAGTCACCTCCTCATCGCCTATGATGCGGATCGCGCACCGCTGTAACCTATCCAAAGCATCGAGCAAGTACTTGGCGGAGCCATCCCAGAGGTGCGAGCAATATTCCACGCAGCACCGCACTTGCGTTTTGTACAACAAGCACAGTTGATTGGGCGTGAAAAAACGCCGCACCTTGTTCAGGACTCCGAGTTTGCGTGAAGCTGTTTTGATCACGGTTTCGATGTAGTTCTTTGGATTCAGGTCTGAGCGAACTTCCATACCGAGCATGGAAACGCCGCTACCGAGCGGTGGTATTGTACCCTGAAGAGAGGGAAGGGGAAGGAATGGCGATGTTTTTGCCGTGAAAGCGCAAGCCTGAGTTTCTGAAAGAGTTTTGCCAGTAAATCGGCTTTCTCCTGCGGCTTATGGGCTAGTGTTCCGTCTGGGCATCTTAGAGGTGGCAGCGAGGGCTCGCAGAAGTTTTTTTGCACGGCCTTGGCCAGACACCAGTAGCTACGGGAGCCCGTAGGATGCGTCATAAGTTCCTGGCCAACACGTGCAACGCGCTGGGCATCCGCTCTGATGTAAGCCTTCTTACAGGCCTTGGAAGCAAACTTGTAGGCTGCTTTTAGTGAATCGACCTCGGGATCCTTGAGAGCGCGGCCTCTGATCCAAGCACGATATGCTTGCTTACGCGAAGCAGCTTCAGCACAGTCGTGTTTGAACCAGAGGTTACGTGTGCCCTTACTGATGAGATCAGAATGAGGAATATAGTATTCCATACCCATTATAATCTCCTCAGTAATGGCAATGGCACTGGCCGATAGGTCCCTGTCACTGAAGCAGCGCTGCTTCCAAGAGACGGACGCAAAGTAGTCACGCATACCGTCCCAAGCTGTCGACCCATAATGCCAGATACGGCGCTTGACCACTGCTGGATGCGGAGGCTTAGCCTGTGGTGCTTTGGCAGATTATCAGGCAGTGGTCTGACGAGCCCAGGGGGGCTCTTACCACAACCTGATAGCCCTGTGGATGGGTCGTGAGCAGAAGGTCCAGTAAAGAAGGCGCTTGACTTGGAATATCTGGGATCCTGGTGGGCTGATCAACCAGTTGCTTCAAGTCATGCGTAATATTTTAACACTGGCATCGCAATGCATTTATAAAAATTTAATATATGTAAGAAAAACCCATGATGCATTTGCAAAAAGAGTCAAACCCATATCTTTAACACGAGATTTAAGAACATGCTTGCCGTTCCATGTTTCAAACTCCAAAAATCAAGAGATTCATTTCTGGGTTGTAGTGTTGCATTGTTTAATAAAGTTCCCCAAGATCTGATAAATTTCCACTGATCAAATTTAAATCTCAGATCAAGAATCTCATCACTCTTATGAATAAGGGCTATTATAGATGATTATCTAAATGATCGTAATGCATGGACAAAATGTTTCTTGTAACTTGATATTTGATCGGTATTAGTGATTATAAATAACAGTGATATGGTACCTATCTAATGCCGCTTCCTATATCTATACATATAATAAAATGGTAGGAAAGTCAAAACTGTACAATGAATATTTTTTTAAAAGAATACTTGGGTTGTGATCTACCATCGATACCGAAGCCAACAATATAGATTTTAGAATTTTGTCTGTTGGTCTGTATGTATGTCTGGGATAACCTCAAAAGGTACTGCATTTACTTCAAATTTGGCACGAATATTATTAAAAAGTCGGGTCAATATATAAGTTACATATTATCACCTATGGGGAACGAGTAGTGAACCTTTATTTCTAACTAACTCCACGCGGGCGGCCGCTAGTACTAAATAGAAAGTTAACTATAAAATTTATTGTAACTTTATAATTATATTCTAAATGATGTAATGGAAGGTGACTTCATTAGTATCTCTGAAGTAATTTTTCAACTTGACGACTCTGTACAATACAGCCAGAAAAAAACAGCCTTTACTGAGTTTCTTGCCAGTTCTTCTCAGTACAAGTTCTGTCGCCGTAGTTTTGCCAACCGATGGCATAGCTTCTTGACCTTCACAAGTGCTTGTAACAGCCTAGACTGAATAAATGATTTTTGATTTTGAACGCAAAACAACTTGAGAAACCACAGCAAAAACTAACAGTGTGAAGAAAAACCTTTTGGTTTGTTAGAGACCTAGATATCCGCAGAAGCAAATGAATAATTATAAGCCAATAAAGCTCTTAAATAAGCCGCATTCAAAAGATCCACCTAATTGTATTAGCAGGAACATAATTCAAAATGAAAGTATCACAATACGATGCTTTATTACCGTAATTACTAGGTGGAACACTTACTTCTAATATAGTGTTGGAATCACGAACATTATCACTTGAACGATGCTTCACCGGCGTCCAGACCTCTTCAGAGTTGCCGTTGCTTCTGCGAACCCGTCTAAAATAAACATTTTGCCAATATGTATGTCGTAAATGCTTTGATTATATACACGCCTCGATGAAGCAATCCAAATAAACCACGCAAAGAAAACGGCTCCTGTTATGCGAAGTGTGTGCGTGACTCTAATGTCAGATTGAATTTGAAACTCAAACTCCAAATAATTGATTTAGTTTAGGCTGTTACAAGCACTCATGAATGTCTAGAATCTTCTGCCATCGGTTAAACAACTACTGAAAGCTGACTGCTTGTGTAGCGACGAGCGTATCTACCACGTGTAGATGTATTTGGGGCGCTTCCGTGCAGTTATAGATACGGTATATAGGCGTGTATATAATCAAAGCTATAATGATCAGACTAATTACCTGGGTGTTGGCATCGACGTAGACTCACTATGCATGATTCTGCTTCGTTTGGAGGGTTCCAGTCCGTACGCGTACGGTAAAGACGCAGCTTCACTCTGTACACATAAATCAGCTTTATAATTTTAATTTAATGATTAATGAATTATGAATCGTCAAATGACTAAACAGTATACTCGTAAAGCGCGACTGGTCGACATGTTACATTATTTTGAAGAATTTAATAACATTTCCGGTAGCGTAATACAGTCTTGAACTTATCCGCTTACTAGTGTTAATAAAAAAAAACGACGGGTTGCACTCCGGGAGTACCGGCAGAAGTGAAATTGACGAATATTAACGTTGTGCATTTTTGATATGTTAGAATGGTTAGGGACATTCCTCCGTGGTTAGGGAATAATTTTGCACATTTCTTTAATTATCAGTATAAAAGTACTAAGTATCATTTATGTGGTAGAATACAATATTTATTTATTGCGCTATCGTACACAAACATGACAATTTATATTACATTAAAAAGTTTATCTCTCAGAATTTCTCATTTAAGCGCACCTAGCGACATCTATTGTAAAAAAAAATTTTTCTTCGCAATAAAGCTGCCACCTGGACGTCCTAGATAGAGGGACTATATCCTTATTATTTTAATTCAATATAATAAAATATTACTGTTTCGTCCAATATATTGAAAGTCAACAACCTTTCCAATTTTATTGTTTTCGTCTTACGATCAGGACAGGTGGCCTATGATGTGATCAGCCCACGTGTCATGAAGCGAGTTTAACATTTTTTACCCATACAAAAAAGTGTACAACGCCGCTTAAGAAGTATTCACTTCAAAAAAAAAACGAAGTCGCTACGAAGTTAGGGGAGTGATATTTTCTATATATTAGGATAAATATTTCAACTGGTAAGGCATTTTACGAAATTAATCTATTAAGGTATCATTATTGGTGCTCACCTCGTTGATGAGATCGGTTTGGCTACCGGAGGGATATCTTGACCTTAGATCCAGACGTGCGATTTCTAGAATTAAAACACAATAGTAATTAATTCATTTACATATTTTTTTTACATTTCTAATTAATCTAAATAATTATAATATGAATTTTATTATGTTTAATTGACAAGCACACTCAAAAACGTCTATACGTATAAGTGCTTGTCAAAGTGACTTGTTATCTTATTGTATTGCTACCACAGTGAAAAAGCTGCATTAATCAACTCAACTTCAGTCAAACTAAAAAAAATACTACTTCTGGCTGAGGTCGTAAGAAAATTTTCATATTACAATAAGTAAAGTGATTTATATAAATATTTATGTTGACTTGTTTTCGGCAACAAATCATTTATTTCCTTTAGTTTAAAGCACAAAAAACATCTTACCTGACGTTACAATATCTATATCATCCTCCTGTGTCCAAGATTGCATATCGCCTTGAGCATCCCCGTAACCGCTCCAGACTCCCGTATACTCAGGCTACGGAGAAATATTAGAGTAATTAGTAAAGCTGCAACCTTATATTTTTTATTTAACAAAAGAAATAAGATAAAAAAATTAACTCGGCCTAAGTTATTTATTAGGCTGGAATCGACTCGAATTCTGCAGTATCCGGGCGTGTTAAAAACAACTTTCATAACAAAGTACATATGTATAAGGGTCAGTTCCATTATGAATATAGGGTGTCACAATGGTGCAAATAACTTTTCGCTACAAAATCAAAACTTAAAAAAGGTTCTTTGGAGATAGGCTATTGACAGTAAAAATAAAATATTACCTGTAAAGGAGAAGTATATTGTTCAACTGGTACGAGCAACGCTCGGTCAAAGTGCCTATTGTGCTGCAAGCACCACGCCACTTCAGTGTAATTGTCGGTGTAAGCTCGAACAGATTCTTCGCTTAAACGTACCCAGGTGCCGTCCTTATTTACCACCTGCCAACGAAATGGAGATTTTACCTAGAGATTTTAGGTTTAGAAAAAAAAGGCTCACATTTTTATATCAGGGAATCAGAAAAACGTTGAAAATTACTGCAGCCTTAGTATTGATTAGACTTCCTCCGTATGCTAGGTTGGCGACGAGCGGCACCCAGGAAATGTTCTCTTACGTATTCTAAAGGAGAAGGTATTTGCTGTCTCATCCCTGTCAAGTTTGCCCAGCGTACAATACTCGGTGAAACAGCAAAAGCGCCCTACCCAGTAAAAACCAGACAATATTCCTGGCACCAGTCACCCTACACGCATTTTGGGGACAAAGGTCCACCCAATGCATACCGATTTCCCACTGACAGCACACCCGCAGGGTGATTGTCCGCGAACGGAGCCGCCCCGATGAAGATGCCTCGGAGCGTTTACATTCAGAGTTTGTGCAATTGTGCCTTAGCCTGGCGGTGTGCCGCCCCTCGACAACACTACACTCACCTCCTCCACATATGCCAGGTTGGCGGCGAGCGGCACCCAGCCTACCTCCTCCGCCTGTAGGCTGGGGCTGGCGCACACCCTGAGCCCGGCACTGTGCCGCCCCTCGACAACACTACACTCACCTCCTCCACATATGCCAGGTTGGCGGCGAGAGGCATCCGGCCCACCGCCTCCGCCTGCAGGCTGAGGCTAGCGCGCACCCTGAGCCCGGCGCTGTGCCGCCCCTTGACAACACTACACTCACCTCCTCCACATATGCCAGGTTGGCGGCGAGCGGCACCCGACCTACCTCCTCCGCCTGCAGGCTGGGGCTGGCGCGCACCCTGAGCCCGGCGCTGTGCCGCCCCTCGACAACACTATACTCACCTCCTCCACATATGCCAGGTTGGCGGCGAGCGGCACCCGGCCCACTTCCTCCGCCTGCAGGCTGGGGCTAGCGCGCACCCTGAGCCCGGCGCTGTGCCGCGCGCAGAACCGCCGCACCTTGGACGCGGGCGCCGTCAACGCGACCCCCGTCTGCGGCCCGCGGTGCGCCGTCTGCTCCAACGGATCCGAGGTCATTTCCACCGCCACCGCCACGTCCTAAGTCATAAGTCCATGTTTTATGATTGAATAGAAACATTTTCATACAAGAATTTGGCATAAAGTGGCCTAAAATCTTCTCCGGGGTCTCCATTATACCGAAGTACAGCGGTTTAGCTGTTACTCTCAGTAACAGACGGAGTAAAACGATCAAGTTGTAAGTACCTGCCTAAAAATTTATTAACATCTAAATATTCGAATTGCGAAATTAAAGATGGTTTTAAAAAGACGTACTTTATAAATGCACATACATAAAATAAAAATAAAACTCATTATAGTACCCTTAGGACGAACCAATATCGAATTAGAATAGTTTGCGAGTGTGAAATGTTATTGTCAAATTTTGTATGGAAACTTGAACAGCAGCGCCATTACGGACGTAACTAGAACTCAGTACATATTTGTACATATTTAGTATATATTAATCATAAATTGCGTTTCTAGTTGTAGACACAAATACGTAATACGTATTGAGGTAAATTAAGTGTTTGGTAAATTGTACCTGTGACTTCTGCGGTTTTAGTGCAATTTAACTTTTGTACAATGTTGAATTATTTGGCCAAGTTCCTTTCATGTATATGTGTTACAGTTAAACCAGTTTTTAGACAGAACGCGATTTCCCTAGTTAGAACTAGTTTTTACTAAATGCCTTTGTTAAAACTAGAATTGAATCTCAGCTCAAATGCTAGCTCAAAATGGAATATCAGTTAAAACTAGTTCTTACTAGACAACACGCGTTTTTCCGAAGCGAGTCAGTTAAAACTGTTCTCAATAACTACACCACCTGAATAACCTACAACAGGTGTTCAAAATAGTTACAGATCAGATTATGGACCCTGTCGGCCACAGCAAATAAGAATTATTATAATTATTATAATAATTCTTATTTGCTGTGCCAATTTGTAACAAAATCAATATGAAACATTAATAAAAAAAGAAGCAATTTCGGATCAGGCTTCATGATTTTATACAACAAGTTTATAATTAGATGTGTTATTTTTTTCCCATTGCATCATAATTTTAATTTAATCATTTAACATATATTTAAATATATAAAAAATATATAAATTTCAAAAATACCTGTAGTATACCTCGGACAAAGAATTAGTCTAGCCATTCAAAGGGGTAACGCTGCCAGTATCTTCGGATCCTGGCCTAAAGGGACTCCTTTTAATAATATATTTTAGTTATTAATTTTATTTTTTAAGGTTTTAAGTTTTAGTTTTATTGTTCTAGTATATATATATATATATATATATAAAGAGTAATTATGTAACTAACAAACTAATACAGATTAATAGTGATATTCTAATATGCTTCGACAAAGCGCCACAAATTAACTAAAACTGAAGAATTTATTACATATTGGACTTTATTACAAGTAAATATGACTGAAAGTCCTTTAAATAATTTTTTAGTAACTTAAGTCCCAATTTCGAAAAGGGTGTGCCTCACTTAAAATTTTCCGCTTGTTGCTTACCTTAAACTGTTCTTATTGTTTTTTATTAATGTTTAATGTAAACACACCCTTTTGAAAACATAAAATAGGTAAGCACCATGCTATTTTCTTAACTACAATAGCTGGCTTTTTAATATTTCGTTTATCTAAAAGATCACATAAATATAAGACAATTGCTATAAACATAATTTCAAAAGGATAACTATATATAAAGTTATAATATTATTTCTAATTATCAAATTACTTTTACGCCTCTCTTGAAAAAAATTATTTTGGCGGTTACGGTAATTTATTTAACAAGTGACGATATGACTCTGTGTCCTAGATTTTATTAATAATATTTTTAAAAATATATTAAATTCAATCCCAAATTAGTTTCTCTAGTGCTAGTTTTAACTAAAGCTCGGAGTGACAACTAGTTCTATCTGAAAATCAAATATATCAGTGGTAAATTCTAGTTTTGACTAGGTTTTCCTAGTTTTAACAAAGGCATTTAGTATAAACTATTTTTAACTAGGGAAAACGCTTTTCATCTAAAATCGCGTTTTTACTGTAACTTATATAAATATTAAGAATAATATTTTTGTTTCATGCGCGAAGAGGACTTTGTTTTGGTCTTTTCATTTTAAATAATGACAACACTAACGGCGCTTCATTAAGATTTATACAACGACTTCGCCGCGAGGGCTGTTGCATGGCTTGAGAGTCACTAGGGCTCGAACCTGCATCATTCATTACATAATTCAAAACAAAAAAGCAACTACCACGTCTCAGCGGCGAGATGTTGGGTTCTGCGCACTCGACCTGAGCTCACGAAACTCACATTATCAATATTATTTAGGATTCCTTACCGTGGGCGCTGGGTGATCATCCAAAGTACACCGGAACAGATACGATCCAGGCGCACGCGGTGTCCAGGTGGCAAGGTATGTGCCGTCCGGTTGTGCACGCACCGGCAGCCGCTCGGCCGGCACTCGGCCTGAGGTCGTGAACCCATCTGCCTCCGCGCGGTCACCCCAACTGCCACTCGCCAATCGGAGCTCCTCGAACGACAAGTGCTGATAGGCCTACGTACACAATACAAATTTCAACTCTGTATAGCTGTTATCGAATATGGAAGGAAGAATAACACGTTTTTTCTCCTCAGGATACTTTCAAATGAATTCGAGCAAGAGAAGCATGATAAAGCATCTTGTTACATGGCACTATCACTCCAACTGGCACTCGCCAAACAAAGCTCCTCGTACGACAAGCGTTGATAGACCTACGTCAACAAAACAGACTGTGTTTGGCTCTTAAACGTATACTCTCATCAAGACTCTTTTGAATGAATTAAAGCTAGAGAAGCATTCTCTTTATCATTATAATCTTGTTACACACCAAAATAAAGAAAGCTTAACGTAAGATCATATACAGTAAATGCATTTGCTCTGATGATTTCATAAAAAAATAGCTAAATGTGAGTCATTCTCCCGCAAAAAGGGTACCAGGGTTTTTGAGCTACAACACCTGAAAAACACGTTCTGTGATGTGCAGGGTCAACCGTTCATAAAAAAGTGACAGAATATAATTTTGTTGCAATTTATGTTCGAAATCATTTAACAGTCTCCATAGAGGAGCCAATAATTCAGGACTGTAATAGGTTACTAATTAAAATCTGAAATATACACTTCTGGACACATCTATTGGCCCACCTTAGAGTTTAGGTTTCGATGGCCCCTACCGAAATATGATTGCTAGATTGAACAACAACTGTTGATGCAGTTTTAAACCTGATACATTTTACCATCTTTTTCGATCGTATTGTTTTAAATTTGAATTCAGAATACCATACGACATGGAGCTAAGCCTAACAAGTTGGATATGCGCCTTGTTAAAGGCAATTGATTTTTGAATAAAAAACATGTTTTATTATATAAAGGTTTAATTTAATAACGCGTGTTGCCTCCATGGGCATCTACCACAGCTCTCATACGATTAGGCATAGAGTTTATCAACCGCTCTATGAAATTTTGAGGGATCATCTCCCATTCCTCTTCCATGGCAGTTTTCAACTCCTGCATCGTCTGGGCAACTGGCTGACGAGCCCTAACACGTCTTTTTAGCTCGTCCGTAAGGCAAATAATTATTGCAGATATTACGGAATCATTTTTGACAGCACTCCTGATGAAAGTAAAATTAAATTCTTAGGTCAAATCATTAAATTCTTTCATATAGGGGATGACATTGTGGAGATGTAAGAGAATCTTTCTTGGGTTTATTTTTAATGTCTGGAAAAACTACTGAGGATATGTCAAAAGACATTCAGCAACAGCTGGAAAAAGACGGACTGAATATTGCGTTGTGCAGGTTATCACAATGCCGCGTCAATGTCAGGTGTCCATGGAGGGGTGCAACGAAAAATCCGAAAAGTAAATCCAAATGCACTGTTCAGTCCTTGTTCTAATCATTCCTTGAATCTTTGTGGAGTTCATGCATTTGTATGCGTTCCTTCCAGCGTCACGTGTTTTGGAACAGTAGAGAAATTATATTCGTTATTTTCGTCATCTACAGGGAGATGGCAATTGCTGAAAGTGAAAACTGGAAAAAAACTAAAACGTTTATCGGATACTCGCTGGAGCTCTCATTATGAGTCAGTAAAAGTTGTAAAAGAAAACATAGAGACAATTTTAAGTAGTTTGAAACATTTTCAAGATCCAACAAAAGCAAATCTAGATACAACATCAGGAGCAAGCCTGCTACTGCCGGCTGTTTGTGATTTTACTTTTCTAACCTATTATACAATTCTGGCTATCTGTACTGGAAGAATTAACATAAGTTCAACAATATTTGCAGTCTCCAAAAATGACTCTTGATATAGGAATCACCAAATTAAACGCCTTGTATGAGTATTTAGTGACCGAACGAACCACCATTGTAGACAATGTTGTAACTTTTGTAATAAAAAAATGCAATGACATGGACATCAACATCGAGAAACGAGGAAGAAGGAAGGTAAAAAGAACGATGCCGAGTATTGAGCTCATTATGCTGGATTATCAATTCCAGAAGAAATACGTCGGTCAATGTATAAATCCATAGATCGATTTATAGAAGATGTCGACACAATACGGGGCCATGAAACAAATCAATAATATTTTCCAAATTATTTAAATAAAGCTTATGCTAGAAGCTTCAGATGATGCTCTGGCTGTAGCAGTTGACAATCTGATACAAAGTAATGATGAATTTGACAAGGAGCAAGTTTCCCAAAAAATAAAAAAGTACCGCAGGCATGTAAAAGCCACCGATACGAGTATGGACGTTGCTGCCCATTGGAGGGCCCAAGAAATCCTTCAATTAATAATAAAATGGGACTTCAGTGAATAGTTACTCTTTAAATTGCTTATACTTCAATATTTCTTGACTATTTGCATCTTGGTTGCACCATGCTACAGGAGTTTTTCGAAACTTAAACTAATTAAAAATTATCTTCGATCTACAATGGATCATGAGCGACTGGTATTAATCTAGCCGTGCTTTCAATAGAAAAAAATCCAAAGAAATCGATATTACAGAAGTTAATGAGGAGTTCAGTAAATTGAAGGCACGAAAACAGCGTTTTATATCGCTACCAAAAATAAAAAAACTATCTTTGATTTATATTAGTATTTTTTTGTCGATCGATTCGTATTTGATTTTCTCACCCATATCCATTCAATATTGTAGGTATGTATGTTTATTTAGCCGAAATATTTTAATTCTAAATTAAATTTCACTTGCCAGATTTAACGAAATAAACATAAGAACCTAATTTTTGTTAAAGGGGGCCTTTCTGCTTTGCCGCCCCGGGCCTCTGACGGGTTTAGTCCGCCACTGGACAACACTAACAAAAGACGAAAGAATGTAGCTTGCCCTCAAAATATATTTACTAAACATGCGTTCTCTTCTAGATTTTACCTATTTCAAGGCCATTTTTGTACAACCGCTTGTATTTAAAACTAAATATTTATACGCTGAAATATTAAATTATTTTATTATAATAAATATTTTGTTTAGTTTGTTTTTATTATTGGGATCAATTAAACAGTTGTTACGATTCCAAGTAGAAGGGAATACGCCGAGTTAGCAGTCACCCACAAAACAGTGCACACGGCCCTAAAAGCTGAATCAGCGAAAGATCGCATATCGGTCGCTGCAATTGACGCAACTGGCGTAAACTGCTGTCTACAAACCTCGTGCCTCCACCACAGCGGGCTACGTGACCGGACGAAGAGCGTCACTTCGATTCTTACATCGATCGAGTCGTGACTTAAAATAGTTAGATTATATTTTAATTGTAATAATTTTCCTTGTATCGGAAATTAAAGTTAGTTTTAGAAAAATAAAATTGTTTTTTTTTGAGGCCTCCGGTCGTGGCTAACGTAATTCAGTCTGGATTCGTCCTAGAATCAAAACACAGTCATATCTAAAATGTAAAACTGCAGAAAGTGCGTTAAGGACTTCAGGATTATAATAGGGTATCACAACCATTTTTGAAAAGTGTCTCATTTAAATTCTAAAGATCTAATATGCTTCCTACTTAAATAACATAAAACTTTTATTCAATAGTTAAGTGCCTAAGTAAACGCTGGACGATGGCGTCCAGCGTTTACGTTTGCAAGCCATATTTCTCTGCGGTCTTGACGTTATTAGTACTGTAAATAAATGCGTTTCCTTGGTTACGAAAACATTAAAAGTACTGAGTTGACAGCTGATACTTTGGCAAATACTAGCGTTGTGACGTAACTAATAATGTTGAGGTAAGTACGTCGACTATTTTATCGTGCTTTAAAACAGATTAAAAAATCTGAAAACTTTGAATTGAATTGTATAATGCCTTTTGTTATTTTATGAACTGAAACTAATATTTCCCAACTCCTTTTTGCCTAAACTATCGCAATGAAAATTTAAAGATTTTTTCTATCGTAGAGTGAAATACCCTACTGTTACCTTCATCATGGTGATGGCGTGAAAACACATGTTGTCTCGGAAGGTGGGCTGATAGGGCACGTTGGGTAGGCTACAGTAAACTCCATCTTGTGGCTGGACGGACCGAGTGCTCACATCCTCAATACGCTGCACAACGACCTGTATTATATTAAATCTTTTAGGACTTTTCCAGTTTCAATCTACCATTAACTTATTCTAGGACACGAGTGCGACAAAAGCTGCAATTCTAGTTTAGATTAATCAATTTGTTGATATTGCGCTGACTACTACTGCCAATTCTGCTGTTGTGGGAAGATGCTTCTACTGACAAGATTGTATTAAAAGAATTATCAACGGAAAACGCAATTTCTATAATGCTTCTCCCAGACCTGCGCGACGTAGCTAGGTCCTAAATGCGCTAATAAGCGTCTGAAATTTGAATTTAGTTCTATAGACTGTACAACCTTTATATTTATTTTTTCTATTTTGCAATCTAATATCCAGATGTGGTTATGGGAAGCCTGAGTAGTAGTGAGATGGGTCGTTACGTTACTTAAAAAATGGTTCAGATAAGCGATGGCTGATTCATGCGTCATGCTCGTGAACGGGTGCTGCCAGCGGAGATGAGTCTCATCCTGCTACATTGGGTACTATTAAACGTTGTATTTAACTTCAATCGTAATTTTTTTATGCGTAACAGTAAGACACGGCATTCCTTAACATTCCTAAACTTTGTTAGATCAGTTTTTTATATTTTTTTTTATTTTATAGTCATAATTTTTATATAATTTACATTTGTAATGGAAAGTGACTTCATGATTTATGTCATATTGAAGTCATTTTTAATTTGACGACTCTATGTGTTATACAGAGAGAAAAAAGCTGCCCTTGCTGGGTTTCTTGCCGGTTCTTCTCAGTACAAGATCTCCCGCCGCAGATTTTCGAAACATTGGCGTAGCTTTTCGACATTCACAAGTGCTTGTAACAGCCTAGACTGAATAAACGACATTGTTTTTTTTTATTTATATACGCTAGACTAGACAATAGCTTGACGGCCGATTTTTGACACGCATAAAAGTGGTTGTAGCGCGCATAGGTTTTTTTTAAAGATAGGTCTGACACTGGTGCCAATTCTAGCGTGATTCTCTATACTTAAAACTAAATTTAACATCAGTCTCTCCTTTTCATTCTGTATGGAGAATGACAAAGATATACTGCTGTCAAATTTAAGTTTAGGTTTAGAGAATCATGCTAGAATCGACACCAATGTCCACCCCACCTGATTAAGTTAAGTGGCGGTGAAGTCCAGATGCGAAGTATCTGGTTCAACAGTTGTACCTGCCACACCAGCCATCCTCACCTTGCCGGCCTGCATGTTGCTTTTTCACGCCTCTTTTAAAGGATCCCAGGTTGTAAAAGGGAGGGAACACGTCAGCGGGCGAAGCATTCCATTTAAGGATAGTGCGACAGAGAAATGAGTCACCAAATTTCTTCGTACGCATTGGAATAGTGGCCATAGTTAGTCGGTGGCAAAGAAGGCAAGCGCACGCGGTCCTCCGAAGGAAAGGGGAAGGTGGAAAAGAGAGAATAACTCCTCAGAACATTCGCCGTGGTACAGACGATAGAAAGCGCTGAATGACGCCACATCACGGCGTAGTTGAAGAGACTCGAGGTTTAGCCACCTCATCGCCTATGATGCGAATCGCGCGCCGCTTTTACCTATCTAAAGCATCTTGCAAGTACGTGGCGGAGCCATCCCAGATGTGCGAGCAATATTTCACGCACGACCGCACCTGCGTCTTATACAACAAGCACAGTTGCTCGGGCGTGAACAAATGCCGCACCTTGTTCAGGACTCCGAGTTTGCGTGAGGCCGTTTTATCCACGCTTTCGATGTAATTCTTTGGATTTAAATAAGAGCGAATTTCCATACCGTTGTGCCTTGAAGAAAAGGAAATGAAAGAATGGGAGGTGTTTTTGCCGTGAAAGCGCAGACCTGAGTTTTCTCAGCATTGAACTCAACCAAGTTCTTGGTACCGTTTGTCGTCGTCGTTCGGAAATATTGTCTAAAGCCTGATTGAGTTCAAAGACAAGATTTTCCCGTTTCTCTTTTGTTACCGCCTGTTCAGCCGCTGCTTGTCCGAAATATCCTGTGTGCGCTGTATTATCGTCTGCATAGCAATGAATATTCCCAAAGTCATTGGTATGCAGCAGAAAGAGAGTGGGGGACAGGACGGAGCCCTGAAGAACGCCGGCATTCACAAACATGGACCGCAAACTACTACCAGCCGTAAGGACACGAATTCTACGCTCATGCAAAAAGTCAGCTACCCAGGAACAGAACTGGGCTAGCAGATCGTATGCCGGAAGCTTGGAGAAAAGGCTTTTGTGCAAGACCTGTGTCTAACGCCTTGGCAATGTCAAGGCTGATAGCTAACGATTCGCCCCGCTTGTCGATAGCCTCACCCCAGATATGAGTCAAGTACGCTAGAAGATCACCTGTCGATCGTTTCGGTCTAAAACCACATTGAGGATCGTTAATCAGGGAGTGATCATCTAGGTAGCGGGTAAGATGGTTGTTAAGGACCTTTACTAGGACTTCCATAATACTGAGATAACTGCTATTGGCCAATAGTTGGCCGGGTCTGAGGGATCCCCTTTTTGGGGCACTGGTTGCACTTGTAATAAGTCACTTTCTTTTCTCGGTGAACAATGTACTATTGTGGTGTCATTAAAGCGTGGTTTTAAGGTAAAAAACTAGTAATAGTACCTAATGAAAATTGAGACAATTTTCCATTTTTTTCTGGCTAAGGAAATGATATTAGAGTAAATAGTCTAAACTTAATCGTTACATCTATGATGCTCTTCCTCGCAGAAAAGGGAAATTATAGGGACTAACCAATATAGTAGGTATTTTTCCTGCTCTCGTCAAATACACTTTGAAAAAACAAAAATATATCATGGAATTTTTCTACTACTTAATCTGGTAGATTTTCCTTAGGAGGACAGTATCAATTTTAAGGAGCTTAAGAAAAACATCAAAAAAAAATATATGCAAACAACAGGAATATCCGAAAATTTCTATACCAAATTTTACTTTTAAAAAACAGCAACTTTATGTGCAAATAACACAATACTCTACAAAAGTTATCCCGATACTAATTATTTATTTTAGGAACACATAGGAGTAGGCGTTATGACTGTAATCTATTGGTTTTAAACAGATACGTACTGGTTCCTAAAATGCAAACATTTTTCCAACTTAATAGTACATTATCTTGCATTGCGAAGTACTTTGGTCATGCTCTATAAAAAAAAAAAAATTTTAGTTTATGGATGCAAATACATTAAACATTTGTAGAGGAATGATAAACGTTCGTGATAGATCCATTTAGTACAATCGATAACTTCGTTTGCGGGGAGCCGAGGCCGGTCACGCTCCTTTAATGTGTTAGCGCCACCGTTTACTACGGCATGATAAACTAGTAACTGACGGGTAATAATATTCCAACGCCATCGTTCGGGTGGCAACAGTGAAATTGCGAATATTGTCCTATATATGTAATACATAATACTTTAACGGACGGATAAAGGCGGAAATGGATGGATTATCCGGGAAGTATAAGGACTCGCTTCATAGAACAATAACAATTATTTGTAAGTATCAGAGCGCATAAATCTTTTCTGTACATTATTTTTCTTTCAGAGAAATTGAAATAATTAGAGAAAACCTGATCAGAAAATAATGGAAAAGAAGTCACACCATTATTGTTACACGAGTAGTTCCAGGAAGTCTGCCTTAGAAATAAGTACATTTTTATTACAACTTATATTCTGCAAATATTGCTAGTAAGTACTTTATTAAATTAATTATTGAAGTAAGGAAGGTAACAGGACTTTCCTGTCAATAAATTTACGTAACTATGTAACATAATAATTGTATCTAATTAATTGTATTGGTAGCGACATGATTTTATGTTAATGTTGCTTCTTCTTTTAAATGCTGATAAATTTCTTGCGCCCATTCTTCTTATCAGCTAAAATATGTTCTCAATGGTAGGACAAAATATTGAACGATTCAAAAGAGCCTTCAATAAGTAAATTTACACTAAAGTATATTTTCATTTCAATCATAATACCTCAACTTTGAGTGCGGGAGCAACCACCGGTTCGCCATACTGGTCCCTGATGACGACGGGCAGGTTGACGCGCGAGGTAGGGTAGGCGGGCGTCGTGGGCGCCACCAGCTCACAGTTGCCGGGCTCTACGAACGGAGAGGGCGACAGCCACCGCGCCAACCTCCCACCCGCTGAGTTCTCGTTGGCCGCCACGAAGTCTGACAGGAACTGACGCTCCGTTGACACAGACCTAACGATAAACACTTCTCTTATTACCAAAAAAAAGTTAGACATGCGTTCAACACGAGTTTAAGAAAAAATACATACAATACACAAAAGCCTAAACAAGGTTTGAAACCGTGTCTAACTTTTTTATAGTAAGACGAGATAGTTTTAAACTTCTTAGTACTCATGAACGACAATGGGATCCCTATAATTATTTTGTTTTAAGTGATTCTCTGCGCTTGGTACGGCAGAACACCAGTGCAGCGGGACCTACCTGTTGTGTATGCAGAGCCATATCCAGTGTTGGCATCACATAAAATGCAAATTATATATTTTGTAGCTTTCTTTTTTGTTTTGTTGTTATCCATTTAGTTATTCTTTATTATGGTGTTTGTTTCTTCCTATTAAGTTTATAGTTATGTCAACAAAAAACAATATCTTTTGTCCCTTTACTAAAACTTACAGTTTTAAGTTTTTGGATAAATTGAAAAGGCTTACTTACAATAGATATGAATTAAATATGCTAAATTTAAGACATCCCTGCTTGTTTTGGAAAACTAAACATTTTGGAACTAACTAAAAGGATTATTTGGAATGATTCCTAAAGCCTTTTGGATGGTACAAAAGGCTTAAAGGGTTTTCAAGGCAATGCAATTATACATTTTTAGGTTTTCTAGATTTCAAAGATAGACGTAAAAATACGCAAATATACGTAAGTAGATACATTATTCATTTCTCTAGCGAAAACACTATGTTTCGTTAATTTAAATCTGATAAATTAGGACGCTTAAATAAAAATGATATGTTTTGTAATTAACTACTTATTCATAATTAAAAAAAGATCCTAAAAACATGTTCTTTGATGTTTTTGTTTAATTAAACTTTTATCTTAAACCAAAGAAAATTATGACAAAAAAGAAAACATAGATTATGTAATACAAATTACGCTAGAACACTGTTTTTTTTTTTACTATTAATTAAAGCACGATATAAACATTTACTTTTGTCACTGCAACTGCAAGTCATCAACCAATGATGTAAGTAGGTACTATAATTTGCAGATCAGCGTAAAGAAAGCACTTGACGAGTAATTCATGATCCACTTACAGAATATTTCCGTCGTGTAAAGAAATAATAAAATGTTACCAACTACTTAAAAATTGGAATAAAGTTAATCTTTATTACGCGATTACCCATAAAATCGCGACATCGTGATTACCTATATATAGTAGTTCCTTGAATACACACGGGAGGTGGCTACGTGCACGAGCAGAAAAGGTGTTTCCTTTTTATTCAACTAGAGATAGAGCCATCCCTGAACCACCATACCCCTAGCCATACCCCTGGGGGTAGGGTGGGACCGTATATATATCACCGTAGTGCTGGGCACTATATGCTTTCAGGTTTTCCGAATATTACGAAGGTACCTGGTGTTAATAGCATCCCATATGACAAAGTATAAATATTTACTTATAATTATTAACTTTTATTTGATTAATCTCAATAATAATCTATTCGTGTATTTTTTAAAGGTTCAACCTCACCCAGTTTGTTATTAAGACTTCTTGCACAAGTTGATAAACTGTTTATTGAGTGCAGTGTAAATACAAATTCATTTGCTTTTCTTACATTGTCATTTTACTATCGATGTGAATAATTAAACAAAAATGGCCACAGAAGAACTTGATTTGATTAAAATTAATGGCGGACGGCTCTACTTTGTCGAATATTCCCTCTATCATCATCACAAAAAAATTAAAAATGTATCAGCGGTATGGAGATGTAGCTCATACTTTACCAGTAAATGTTGCGGTACTTTGACTATTGCAGAGGTAAGTATTACTTTCAGTTAAATGTATTTTATTACATACCTAGTTGTGAACAGGATATCAGTCATTTACATGTTTATATCGAGGTGTCATTTACCTTTCTTCCATATCGCCTTGATATAAGTATAATATTCTATGGTTGTTACTTGAAATATTTTTTTACATGTTAGAAGAAAACAATAGTTGGAAGAAAAGGTCACACTAGTGCAGTAGATGAAAGTAAAAATCAGATAACTAAAACAATTATGTGATTTGCGAGAGAGTGATATCTTGCGATGCGATTGATAACCCATCTAAAGATTACATAACAAAAAAAGCACTGAATTTACAGACAAGGGACTCGTCATAGCAATGGGGAGTTTTCCCTCCAACGAAAGTGTTAAACATTTTTGACACGATGCAAAAAATAAATCGGTAAACGTATCCAAGACCTTGTTCAAAAATGTTGGTGAAGTTGAGGTACTGGTTCAGTTCAAAGATTTCCTTTTGGCCATTTACTACCACGGGCAAGCTGGGGAACAAAGTCGGATTTTAGTTTTCTGTTCCAAAATATTTTGTACATTATCAAAGTTTTTATACGGAACCCAAATTTTTTGAAAATACTCTATAGCCAATGTTCATCAGGGATAATGTAGGATTCTAAATGTGTAAGAATTTTTCAAATAGGTCCAGTAGTTTCGGGGCCTAGTCAATACAAACACACAAACAAACAAACAAATCAAATCTTTCCTCTTTTTAATATTAGTATAGATTTTTAACCAACGAAAAACCTGAGGATGTTCTCAGGTCAACACGTGTTATTTGTTTTTTTTACTCTCCAGCATAACTTTTTACAGAGTAATTTGTTTACCGATTTTGATAATTTTCTTTTTATATTTTTTTTTTAAACGTTTAACTGCTCGATGTTTAAATCTAAAGAAAATATTACTAGAAAAAATTCCACGCGGACCAGGCATCAGACGGGACTTGAACTCGAATCAATGGTCAGTGCATTCGCCCAGTTAGCGAAGAGTGCGGGTTCAAGTCCCATCTTCTGCCTGGTCCTCATGGACGTTTTTCTAGTAATATTTCCTTTAGATTTAAAAAAAATATTGGAAAGGGTATACACCGAAGTTCGTTCCACATAAATTTGAAAAAGAATCCTATGGGAATGAAAACAGGAGTTGCTTGATTGTTCACTTACAGATTTTGATGCCGAGCTGTGTATTACAAAATTAAATTTTAGCCACATAAAAATGTATTTTTTTTAACAAAAACTTAAACCACCGAAAAGAAAAAAATATAAACCGATTTTAGGTTTGTTTTCATACCCATAATGAGGCCCCATCATCCGCCTGCTGTGTTTTAATAATATTTTGGAATTGATGTAATATTTTATTGTCCTTAATTCATTGCGATCAGTCATCATTTCGGTTTCACTAGTTTCTTTATCGTACCTTCTGATCTGATGAAAAAAATGTGATAATGTATGAAACACTATCACATTTTTTAGAGTTCCGTACCTCTAAAGGAAAAAACGGAACCCTTATAGGATCACTTTGTTGTCCGTCCGTCCGTTCGTCTGTCTATCAAGACCGTTTTTCTCAGGAACGCATGGAGGTATCACACTGAAATGCATATCTAATACTCAGGTCTACTTTCCCTTGGAGCTGTGAAAAAATCAAACTTCTAAGCCAAAGCAATCAAAAGATACAGCCGTTTATGCCGAAAATTACCGCAAATCTTCGAAACTCGCACGGGGATCAAAACCTACAGGGTCTCCTCCCGTAAACTTAGAATCTTGAAATTTGGTACGAAGTAACGTCTTATAGTTTCGGGTTCAAATCCCGGTGGGGGCAGATGTTTGTGTGTATATGTGTTTGTTTATAAATATACTTATATATGTACAATATATGTATTCTATCCGTTACCCTAGTATCCCATAACACAAGCCTTACAGGGCTTACTCCAAAGTAAGTACTAGTAATTCCAATTAATTAATAATATTTTATTGGTGTGAATGTTGGAAATATTTGTTTATTTATTTATTTTTAGAATTTTTAGTTACATCGTATATAAAAAAAACCTCTTTTCTCATGAACGCGTAGAGGTATTAAATTGAGTATATACGGAACCCTCGGTGCGCGAGTCCGACTCGCAATTGGCCGATTTTTTTTCTTCGGTCTTCTTTCCGCGAAGGCCTGTCAAAATTCATATACATCGCACTTTTTGTTTATATGAAACCTAATTATTTGTTTAATATATTTAAGTGTGTTTCCAATTACTTTGACGTTTTGAATTGTGTGAATATCACACTCACATTTAATGTTTTTTTAATAGATTTTCCTTTCTTTTCCTCATACACAGACAACATACTCATTTGTTTCAGTTAATCGACTTTTATCCGTCTGCTTGTCGTTTTCCATAAACAAGCTATAATAAGTACTTGGTAAAATTTAAATCATGTCAGAATTAATTTCAGTGTATAACTTAATAACATGGAGATACAGTAGGAGATGTGAAATTGACGACATATTTTCTCGTCTCGTACGAACGGAGATGCATGCATAGAGTCCGCTGCGATGCACTTTTATCGATAAATTAATAATCACGTAATTCGTTTAACTCAATAATATGTCAGTACGAAATTACAACGATTACAATATGGCGTATTGTATGATTGGTTCCTTACTATTTTAAACGTTAAAAATACAACAATTCTAAAATTAAGACCGTTTCGTATTCAAGAGACGTGATTATCAAGGGTGTGAGTAGTTTAAGCGATAAATCTAGTTCTACGAGTCCCATTTATAACGAATAAACTTAAACATTTAGGATGCGGCTCGTAAAATTGTGAGCGAAAGGACTCCTGCGTTTCATCGACGAAGTAAGAATTTTTGAATATTATTAATTTACAGGAATTGTTAAGAAGATTTTGTAAATATTTTATTTCCACTATACATTTAAAAACTTTATTAACTATAAGCCAATATTCGAACACTCGACTAGAACTAAATAAAATTATAACCTTTAGAAAATGACAAACTTTGACTACTCTCAATCACTCAATACCCTTTTAATTATTTATAATGTTACTTTGTGACTTTGTGAGAGAAAATAAATCATTCATTCATTCACTTTTTTATTATTGTAAAAGATTATTTATAGTATGACATTTCCTACATGTTCCCCAGCCAAGTGCAAATCAGACTCGCGCATCGACGATTAAATACATACTAGAAGGTATTTTAATGTAACAAATAAACCACGGACAGACCGTCAATACGAGCAGACGGCTCACCTGATGGTAAGTGATCACCGTCGCCCATGGACACTTGCAACACCAGGAGTATCACAAATGCGATGCCGGCCTTTAAGGGATATTCTGGAAGGGCTCTTTTTTATTTTTACTTTGTGGCACGGAGCTATAATGGTTACTATTTTAAAAACAAAGATAATTATGGTATGGTGCTAAAATATCACATCGTAGTCTTGTCACAAATGGCTTACTCTTCTGATGGCATTATCTTATGCGTTTAACGTGTGGCATGTAGGTACATGATGTAGCAAATCGGTGTGTACGTTTGACACATCTTTGACTTAAAAAATCAAGCAATATCTGCATGGAAGATTGGAAGTTAGTTCATCTCAATATGCACCCAAAACTTTCCTCAATAAATCCTATTATTCGACAAGGAATAGATAATTCTAAATTTTGAGTAGGTACCTTCATAATATTTTTTTCAATACTCATACCTAAATGCAAATTGGAGTTAGCAAATTTTAATGAGTGCTAATTTTAAAAAAACGTTTCGTTTAGTACAAATGCGAATGATGATAATTAGGGCGAATAATCGACATCGAAGATAATAACAATAGGCGTGAAAATATTAGGCGTCACTAGTGGCACGGCACCACCTTGTGGGTGACTTGTGTGTAGTGATGGGCAATTTTCCGAAACTTCTCAAATCATAGTAATTTTTCAATTTACGTTTCGGAAAGATAAATAAATGTACATATAATGGAAAAATATAGTTTATTGTAAAATTTTAACAAGAATCATTATAATCACACATCTTTATGAGTATATAATTATACAAAGAAGGCATGAGTAGCGACAGCCACAAACGCCGCCACGAGAAGTTAGAAGCGGCTACAAAGGTAGCTGAAGCGCGCAACAATCACTTTTGGCCGGTGGTCGACACTTGGCTTCGGTGGCTGCTACTATTTTTAACATATGCGTGCAGTATCATAATGGACTCTGACGAAGAAGGTTTGAAGGTGGGGAATCCCGCGAGTGGCGTGTGGCGGCGTTTTGTATCGGCACAAGTGGCCGGTTCACAAGAAGCGAGTAACGACGATTTGTAGTAATTGAAGAGACTCGAGGTGTTTAGTCACCTCCTCATCGCCTATGATGCGGATCACGCGCCGCTGTAACCTATACAAAGCATCGAGCAAGTACTTGGCGGAGCCATCCCAGAGCTGCGAGCAATATTCCATGCAAGACCGCCCCTGCGTCTTATACAACAAGCACAGTTGCACGGGCGTGAAAAAACGCCGCACCTTATTCAGGATTTCGATGATATGACTATGATCTTTTCACATCACTGACACGGGTAAATCTTGAGGAACATGTGGATATATCACACACACTAAGATTAAATAATGAGAAAAAAGTGGTTTCTACAAAATTGGGGTTATTCAGTTCGGGGTCAACGTCCACGACTTCACCATTTTTCACGAAGCGCGTATTTGAAACTGAAGTTACCTGATGTAAACAAACAGTGGCGACGCTAGACCACATGTGGACGTCGGCGACATCAAGTTCGGAGGCCTATTTTAATTCGCAGTAAAAAACCGATAAATTAAGTAAGCCAAATTATAAAATAACGTATGAGTAAACGAGTTTTCTTGTTCATAATCAAATGATGACAAAAAATACACACATCAAAAGTGGCTAGGGATCAAGCATTTTTATGCGGATTTCTTGAGATTGAGATGTGGCTTTGTAATAAATTTATGATTTTATAAATTTATATGGATCCTTTTTGGTGCATTTCATAATTTGAATCAGGAACTGTGAATCAAA